CCCTCCCTCCCCCCTTCTGTGTCTCGCGCGCGCAACACGCCGGAAGGGCACGATTAGCAGCGCCTGTCCTCCCCGCACGCCCTGACCTCTGACCACGGCTAGGGGCTGTCTCACTCCCACCCCTTCAGACCCTTTCCATTTACACAGACAAGTTGTGCAACTAATGTACTTTAGCCTATGTGGAGCACCAGAGTGCGTCACATTAGTAGTTAATGTGAGGTATTTGCAAGCGCCCCACGCTTCATCACAAATGTGAAGCACTAGGTCGGTGGGCTGTCTTCCTGAAACCACCCCGTTTTGCATAGATTCGCTGAAATCATCCTTCTCTCCCTCGCCTTCCTTTGCTTTAATCACAAAGATTTAACGGGATGTGGTATGTATGAAAGGTCTCTTGACCTGCATTTATTTTCCTTGGTGCAAGAAAATATGTTCTTGGCTCAAGGCAAAAAAATTTTCGTCCGTTTTTGAAATTTAAGTTTTTCCCTCACAGTAGTCTTTTTTTTGGGGTAGCGTCCCTCCGCTCAGGTGCATCTTCGACATTGTTTCTGAAGCGGTATTGGAGAAGTTGACCGGCGCCCATTCCTTGCCTCCCCTTCGCTCCTTTTCTTACCCCCCCCTCCCCCCTTCCCCTCAACCCCTTGCTTCCCTTCGCAGAGAGCCGATAAGTTGTGCTGGTCGCTCGGCATCCGCAGCGTGACTCGACAATGCTTCGCGTTCCACGCCCCGCTCCCGCCCCGCACCCGATCGCCTGCAGCTCAGGGAAAATTGTCTGGAAGTTACTGTGAAAATTCCTTTGGAGTCACGGTGACAATTTGCCTCGTTCCTTGCCGACTTGAGGTAAAAATCCATTTGTGGATCGCAAAGCAGTATTGTTTCACAATGTAGTACCCTCCTGGAAGTAACAGTATAAACAAAGGCAGACCACCGTGACTGAGAAGGCCCTGTAACTTACGGTACTTGGCTGCAGGTTTTACTGTAGCCTATACGATGCTCTTCACTATTGTCAACTTGCAATACTACCAGCCCTGCTGTGCACAGAGCCCTTTACGTCAGCTGATGTTCGTAGCTTAGCAAGTTTTTGAAATTTCCTAAACTACTACCAAGTATGAAGTGACTCGTGTAAGCACGGCGTTTTCCACCCCCCGCCGCGCCGCCGCGATCTGTTTTCCCTTTTTTCTCCCCAGACCCACCCGAGCACACAGGCGCTCCTACCGCTGCTCGTGACAGGGACTTCCCCGGCGTACACGAGCGTTATTCAAATTAATTCCCTCATTTTCATTTCCATTAATCGCGCAATATTTTTATTTTTTGCTGTCGTTCTCGCATATTCATGTTTTATTTCAAAAAGAACAAAAACCCGAAAAAAAATATCCCATGGCCTCTTAGGGGTTATTCCTCCTTTGCCGTTACGAACCTTGCACAGCTCTCATAGCGCCTGGTGGGTAGGCAACATCTTACATGCAATGCATGAGTGTCCGGCGGGTTGGCCTACCCCGAGTTTCGCAGGCGCTTAGCTCCCGAATGAATCTGGGAAAAACGTATAGGTTGTCGGGAAAATTTCCCATGATGTCTGTCGTAAAGTGACAATTTGATATTGTAAATTTACATATGCACTTTGTATCGACTTGGAGTGGAGGGGCTGTTGCAAATTTACAACACATTTTGTAAACAAAAATAACAAATGTTGTTAACTTCCGAGTATAATTTTTCCGCAGTGTTGTATTTGCTCGGGTTTATTCTCTGAGCCGGTGCAGGCGCCGCGCAGTGGGTGGGCCAGGCAGCTCATGGTGTTCACGGGGGGCGCTGCCCGGCACTGCATCCCCTCGGGTGCGTTCCAAACCTCTCTGCTCTAAGAGGAGGGGGAGGGGGAGGTTCGTCCCAGGCACTTTGTTTGCTTTTATTAGACCGCACTGCCCCGCTACGCTCGCTATGTCCCCTCCCTCTCGCTCTCCCTTCGCCTCTCTTCTCCTCACCCCTCACCCTCCCCGCAGCACCCTTCACCAGTTCTCAACTAGTGAGACTGTATCGGAGGAGTCGACGGCTGGGCGGCGCCTCACGGCCTCCAGCGTTTAACTTGGAGCGTCGTGCGTTGATGTGTGTGTGTGTGTGCGCGAGCGCGCGCGTTTGTGTGCGTGCGTGTGTGTGCGCGTGTGCTTGCGACTGTGCGCCCGGCGCCCTTGGAAGGTCCAGCAGCGCGCGCGGCGCGTCCGGTTTGTTTGTCACAGACGCGACGACTTTGGCTGTCCTCTGGTGGACCCCTTTGGCTCCTTCCGCGCCCCAGTCTCTCTCTCTCTCTCTCTCTCTCTCTCTCTCTCTCTCTCTCTCTCTCTCTCTCTCTCTCTCTCTCTCTCTCTCTCTCCCGCCCTCCCCCCCCTGACTGCCGCGCCCTCGAGCTCCATCACGGTTGCCGTGTCCTGGCTGGACTCTCCAGCCGCGGGGTCGTGGCTCGCAAGCCGCTTTCTCTCACTTTGACTCTCTTTTGAAATCATTTGTTTGGGAGCGCGACCCTCCAATATTTAAGAGGATGGCGAAAAGTTTGTCATAATTCCGGGCCGTGGCGCGGCGGTTCTACTCTCGGTCAGTCTCTTGCCGCGGGGGAATATAAAGAGTAAAATAAGGGAGATTAATTCCATTTCCACCGCCCTGTCCCTCTCCCTGCCCTCACCAAAGCTTCTTTCTGAATAATAAAGAAAAGAAAGAATCAAGGGCGGGGAAGAAAATTGCCTCCACCTTGGCGGTCGTATTTGCGCGTGCTTGCCGAGCTTGTGTTCGTTATTTTTTTCTTTGACCCCTTCTTAATTTTGTCTCCACAATCCTTTTCCCATCTGTGGCGCCTTTACGTTACGAGCTTTAAAAAAAATGGAATTATTACGCCTGACTCATTATTCACTAAAATCGTATGATTGTTTTAACTCGCAACTTACTGGTGTGCGCGCCCTACGCTGGCTTACACATGTTTTAATACGCCATTAATATGTTATCCGGTTATCTGGGACTCTCATGATGTGCACTGTAAAATGCTTATGAATTAAATGCACTGTTAAATTCCTACAAAGCATTCGCTTTGCAGAGCTGCGAAGTATTTTGCTCCTTTGTAACTCCGAAGCATTTACTTCGCGATTACAAAGTGATGCTTTGCAAAGCGTCACTTCGTAATTGCAAAGCATCACTTTGTAATTGCGAAGTAAATGCAGGAATTCAACAGTGTGCTTCGCAACGTTACAAACAATTTTCATTCTTTGTATTACAAAGCAATTGTTTGCAAGGCAAGGATAGGAAAGATCTAACGAACAATGTTGAACCTGTTGTTCGTAAGCAATTAACAGTGTGTCGCATGATAACGATAGCTTTTTATCACCGAAATGAATGTGACTAAGCTTAGAAGGGAAAAACTATTGCAAAATTAATGCAAGAACCTCTCCTTATTGCATAAGTCTGTGATGCTTTGGCTTTGAAAAGCCGTATAAATAACCTGATAAGGTTCGACTGTCGTGCAACGAAAGTATCCGACGTGGATTGTTCGTATTCCAACGCTAACAAAAACTCAGGAGTGGAGGGAGTACCTTCAAAGGGAGACGTAACCCGGCCATTATCTTGGCTCAGACTGTTGGTGCGCGC